CATTATTTGTTTTATTATATAAGTATTATTTGTTTTTTTTTTATTCCCTCTTGTCGAAAATGTGAAGGAAATAATATCTCTTTTTTGCGATTTTAGCGAACATTGACCTAATTTTGCACGATGTGGGGATCTAGATAAGAATATTTCTCACAAGTGATATGAAAGAGCATTCCAATATCTATTTGATGATATGAGATTCGTCGTGTTACAGTTAGGTATCGAAATGAAACACATTTAATAACGATTGGCATTTATGGCATTGGATCTGTTCAACATATCTGGCTCTGAAAATTGGTTCAGCTCTTTAGTTTCTATTATATTTCTTATTTCATAGTATTCTCAATATGGTATTTTCCCCCATTAAATTAAGTTGCATGGGTACTTATAGCGCCCGTACTTTAATTACAGTTACTTCATATAGTTCGATCCACTTCGCCTCTGGGTTCATCTGATCCTACCTTCACAAGCTGTCAGGATTTGGTCACCATAGGGGGCTGGAGGATTGCACTGGCTGCCTCTTGATGGTGCCACCAACAAAATTACATCGTCCCTTATGGAGTGATGTTAATTTTAAAAATTCAATGAAGCATCTATGAGGAAACCTTGCCGATGGAGAGCAAGACATCTGAAGCTTTTTTTCTGTTTATGTGCTTGGAGGAAGCCCCATTCCTGAAGTAGTGTAACTTCTTTATTTATGGGTGGCTTCGCTTGAAGCGGATGAGAAACGCCTGCTGGAAAATGCACCGCAACAGTAACATATTTGTAGCGGTCAGAAATGTCAGCATAGGTAATCACTTCAAGATCTGCTGATGTTGATCGATCGAGGACCAGGATAGAGTGAACTGTGCCTTGGGTGTTGTTTCCATGAAAGGAAAGTACTGCATCTTGGATGACAAATCCATTGAAATCCATCATCATGAAGTCGTATGTCATATGCCTTCCAGTGAAACTGAACACTGGATTCTTGAATGGTAGCTGCATGTTGCTATCTGCAGGAATGGACAGTTAGATCTGCAACAGCGAAGAAAACATGTTTCGTAAACCTCATCCAGCCTATGAAAGTCGGATCAGATGAACCCAATGGCGAAATATATAAAACTATATTAAACAATTTTATTATCAGTCATAACAGACTGCAATTTGATGAAAAGGAGACCTTTCGGCAACTAGGCTTTTAGGCATCGGCCATTTAAAAAAACACTGTGATTGGACCCATGAACCAAAATATAGGATCCCATCACACAAGATCACTGAAAATACAGAGAAACTGCTGTGGAATACTGCCAATTGCATACGATGAGATGATTATGAAGAAAATGCGAGTAAAAATGATTGAAATAACATGGCTATACTAGCTACAACTGAGAAAAATATATATATCAGAAATAATTAGAAAGAAAATTATGGCAATGGGGGCAATTGTGAATAAATAAATAGCTACCATTGCACGAGGGGACCAGAGAAAGATTTCAAAATTCAATTAAAATTTGCTGACGAAATTGGGGGATAAGTGCAAAATAGTAGAAAGACACATTCCAGTGATCGAATGTGGGGGAATACGATTGACGGCGAGTACTTCGTGTCACGCCGCGTAATGAGAGCTGGCGAAAACGCCGAAATGTCGCTGGAGATGTAAATAAAAAAAACTCTTCGTTTCACGAAGAGATTCAATGACAAATCGCTTGAAACCTTGAATGCTCCGAGAAAAAAAAATTTCGATGAGCTGAGGTCAGGTAACCAAAAAACCAGTGAGAACTAGCCATGGGTTACATGAAGAACAATGATGAGCAAGTGGGAAAAAAAGTTAAAATACTTGGATTTTCACAGAGAAATTCTTTACCAATCGATTTACATGTGAAGTGACATGTGTCATTTACATGCAATGGAACGATTGTTTACTACTTCAGAAGCAGGATTTTTTTTTTATATCATAACACTAAACGCTAAAACACGCCAATACTTATGTGTCCTTGACCTTTTTTCATTGAGCCGCCAGGCTTCGAGCTTCACTTTCGGATCTCATGGAATTGACATGCAGGATTTCCTCAGGGAAATGGAGAGAAAAAAAAAAAAAAAAACAAGGAGAGCCTACATGCTTTTTCGCGTCGCAGTTCGTTTCAAAGTCGAAATTCCTTACCGGCGGGCCAGACTTTCGATCGACAGAGAGTCCGCGTCGTAGAGGATGTTTCCCCTTCATCATCATGACTGAAAATAAATTATTTTGTGCTCGAGTGAAACAAGATGGAAAGTCGGATATGACATGAGACAACCTTGCTCCGAAAAGAAAGCTACAACCGGGGGATAATCATAAGGCACTTGGAATTCTCCACGCAGCTGAGAGCACCTATGCATTGCGCATGCGCGGTCGAAAGGCGAACTTTACAAAACCGACTGTCTTGCCCAGAACGAGTTCATTTCTTTCCGATCTCTTGCGGCGGGAGGTTCCTGACTGGCTCTCCATGGCACTCGTAGCACTATATCGGTGTCCTTACGATTAAACGATTGCACTAGGGCTCTATGCGGTGGCGTTCCAAAGACACAGCATTGTTTTGAATTGTTTAAATATCCATTCTTTCATTGTGGTTTGACTGCGAGGAATGTGAAGAAGTAATGGTTGTAGATGTCTCGAGGATCGCAGTACTTGGGGAAAATCACGGGAAGGGATTTTCTCTCCAATATTTTCGGTCACATGAAACTTTGTGTATCGATTGTCAGTACGTTATAATTTGAGAATTGGAGATTTTCTCAGGACCAGATTTACCTTTGGCTGGCCTCGGTGCCACTTTCTTATCTCTATATTAATCGTTTACCATTCAATCCGCTTCGCTTCATTTTGCAATCGATCTACCCAGCTTGTGGGTAATTTTGCTTTCTCATATTACGGATTGCCGAACAAAACAGATGAGATGCACGTTGCAACGTAGATGATGTCGCTTGCAATCACTTTCTTTCGGCATGTGTGGTTGACCTTTGCAATGGGAGAAAATCTACTCCGCGAGCGAGCATAGGTGCCCTCCGAAACTAGCTGCTCTCCCCCCGGCTTATGGACATACCTTCTCCACTCCTCACGTCGCACACACTCCACGTACCTTGGGGGAGGGGGGGGGTGGGGGGGACAGAGGGGAAACAAGGGTGTCCATTATTTCCACCCCGATCAAGTGGGGAACAGAGCCTGAACCGAGCATGGCTCTATCACTGAGGTGGAGACGATTTCTCTCGTAGTCTATGTTGACATGCAAAGTCTACAAGAAAAGCGATTGTTGAGGCAATGAAGTGTCCGTGAGATTACGGTTTCAAAGTGAAACTCGAGTTCAAGACCATTTCTACAGAATCGTTTTTTATTGTCATCCTGTCATTCACGGTTCCGTGGATGACAGGATTGTAAATTTACAATTTTGCATAAATTTACCATATCATACCGTGTATTAGATATTATACATTTAATTAAATAACTGAAGATGACAAACTAATGGGTGAAAGAAGGCCTTTGATGGAACTGGGCCATGCATAATTGCGCCCCTTGTAGGATATGCTCCATAATATGGAGCGCAAAGTCACGAGAATCCGAAGAAATTGCCATAGACACAATGTAAATGCAATGTCCATTGGAATGGACCACAGATCTGAAAGGGTTAAAATATGATTCCTTGTGCTTGAGTGGTACCATGAAAAACGGGAAACAAATAGGACTGCTTCTTGCTACATGGAAAACCTTGGTCCGAAAAAAAAAGCTCCAACCCAGGAAACGGAATGGAAAATTTCCAGCCTGATCAAGGTAAAACGTAGTCATGCTGATGCAATTTTTTTTTGCGGTGGAGAAAGCTCTCGACATCGGTAGCTACGTCTTGTGCACAGATCCCTTTCATCAGATGGGAAAATTCGTGACCCTGGTAGGAAATACCACCGAAGACAATGAGTGTCTCCTGAGCTGTTCCGAGACCCTTCCTGGTCGGCTGGAGGAGAGGGCAGGGGACAAGGTTCAGAATTTGATTTTTCCCGGGGCAAATGGGGGCTGTGACCCTGAGGTGGGTGAACGCTCCAAACATCATTCGGAATTATCTGAAATACGTTTAAATCATGCAGCACTCTCTTAGAAGAGGGTACGACTCAAGCTGCTGCGCTCGAAGAACAAGTGCTTCTCAACTTATTTTTAAAAAAATTAAAATTAAAATTAATGGATAGAAACAATGGAAAATAATCATGAATGTAAATTATGTCGAGACCTTTCTTGGAGATTTATTTATATATAGCATATATATGTATCTCGCTCGCGGAGATTCGAAACTGGCATCATCTACCACCGAAGTCATTCAATTAAAAGAGTCGCTAAGTTATTATCTAAGGGCTCCACGGGTTGCAGTGGGTATATATGCGCAGCACAAAATATCTGCGAAGATTCGACCGGAAATGACTCATCCGATTCGATTGCGAAGCGAACTACGACCGAAGGCGAAAGTGCCATGCGTCTCCAATGCGACCGACTGCAAGGAACAGCGGTGGCCGCATCGCAGCTTTTCGCAGTCAGCTGTGCATGGCCCCCAATTCGTCACCTCGGTTCAACAAGGTTCTATGTCACATCTTGTCCGTTTCAGGCATTTTTTTTAGACATGCTTTTGAGATTCGGTTTCTTCCCTATGCCGAGGCTCCCCCGATAAAATGCACTGGTGGGCAAAATTAAGGTGACAATCACAAAAACCAGAATAACGTCTTTATTCTGTGAGTTATATCAATGAAAATTTGTACAGAGATACAATTTATCATTACCGATAAGTGTATAAAAAAAAAGAACATTGGACTGGTAATAACAGTCATGATAATTACATTATGAAACGAAAAATTACATGTTCCAACAGACATGCTTAGAAGAAGACAATAGCCGTCGTCCTTTTATAGGCTTCACAAATTTGCATGTTGCAACTCACGTAGATCAATTTCGATTGGATATTCGGAATTTGCATGTAAAAGGACGTCTAGTAACGTATTTTCGCATTCTAACTATTTTAATTAAAATATTGACGAAAAACGATGACCTTAATTTTGTTCGCCTGTACACTACACGAATTTTTGGCCAGTTGTTCGAAGAGACGTGCACCTTGCCTTGGATTTGGTGTATTGCAGATGCTGACCTTGCGAAATACATCATCACTGTGAAACAACTTAAAATTAACTTCAAGTGGAGACCTATGAGTGAATCGTAGCTGACAGTGACAGGCATAACAAAATGGAATGACTTTAAAATTGAGATTTTTGGCGGCGGACTTTTAGTCTTTGGAGTCCGTTTGACTCATCTTGATTGTATTTATGCGATTCTCCCTGTTAACAGCAAGGAGAACGCGGAGGAAAAGACAAAAGAACAGAATTCAGAGATTCTGCTGTGAAGTTAATGTCATGTTAAGAGTGAGGAAAATTGTATGTATCGTTAGATAAGTTCATCTTTTACAATAATTACTAAAAATATTATTTTCAATGAAAGAAACGAGGTTCTACTAAACCAAGCATACTTTTTTCGGAAGCTTTTTTTGAAAATAAACCACTCTACATTTCACCCTTCAATTGAAACACACTCTTGAAATACAGCATCTACAGCTTGAACATGAGTTAGATGTTGGGCAAAATCTCATCGGATGGTGCTAGCTGTAACAAGATATTTGATTGGCTGATGGCAATAGGAATACCCTACCCTGGATAATAAACTAATCAAAAGTCTCCAAAGTTTTATCTTTATTTATTGTCCAGGAACTGTAGATAGAACCATGTTGAACTGAATGTTTGAGACACGGACAGAGAACCTTGAAGAATCGTTAATTCTAGCCTTTCTTGAGGGAATTCACACAAAATCTCTATATCTCCTGAATCTACTCTCCATGCGGGTTATTTGGATGTCACTCTCATTTTTCATAAAAACGTCAGATAGAACCTTATTGAACTGAGGTGACAAATTGCCTATTCATCCTCTGCTCCTGTCTTGCTTCCACTGGGAAAGCAAACAGCAAAATTCCAAGTTGAAGGAATACTGCAAATTCATCCGAGTGTATTGTACAGCGACTGTGCAGAAAATGAAAACCATGGGGAGCCAACAATATCAGTTCAATGGAACACCACAGAGACAAACCTTCGAATTCAACATTTCAGCAGACACACTGGACGACACATGGTCGTATAAAGCATGAAATCCTGTCAGTAAAATACTTTCATCTGGGTTGTGTTATGCTCTGACATTTTTGGGATTCTATATGAGCAGCTGGCTCAATTTGAAATCACCTCATCACAGACAAATACCCATCTTCAAAGTAAAATATTCTCTTTTGACCCAAGAAACTAACAAGGAATTGGGTGCTGAAATTATACTCACTGTACACAATCAAGAGATACAGGAAAGACTTGCCCAAACCAATGAACTCTTAAATTAAGTAAAAAATATCATTTCAAAGGATGCAATAATCAGTTTTTCTCAATGAGGTGTTAACATGTAAAATACAACGTAAGACACTTGCATCCACTACGATTACCAACTTCTGATCATACTGTGGTGGACAAAACTCATTCTTCAATGGAAAAAAATATGGCAAGAACATAAAAGCAATGAATGGCAGAACTGTTGAGTGAGGTAGTAGAATCAGCACTTGCAAGAGACAAAACAGACCTTTTGGCTAACAAATGATCCCAAAAAGTTGGTTCTCACCCACACTTTGATTTGTTGCTACTAAGACACAAGACCAGCAAAAATTTGACTTATCTTGAATATTTTTTTAACCAATGGAATATTTTTTACCAATATGAGACAAGCATGATATGGAATGATATGGAATGACAAGCAAGCAATGCATGAAACTTTGAGGAACTCAAACATCAACATGATTACCAGAAGAAAAAAGTACAAAAGTCTCATGCTTTCTCCTTCTTTACCTTGAATGAGTCACTGACTACATTAATAGGTATTCTGGAAAGGTTAACTCCAAGATAACAAAGACTATTTAATTCAGTAAAATGAAGCACTCCTTGACCTTATAAACCCGAATGCAAATAATATTGAATTATCTCAAGCCCAGGATTTTTTTTATTTTAGCCATGCTGGGCAGCCCTACCTCAACAACCACAACTCATCCCCTCCACTATGTCTCATCTAAGGTGAAGCTACCTTGCTAGGGTCTCCTTTCTGTAGAGAGTAGTAATATAAAGGGACCTCAGCATGCAGAGGAGAAAGAGGCTGTGTGAAGGAATGAGAGAGCAGATGTACTTCCTATTGAATCTCTAATCTGAAGATTAGTTATATTTAATCATTCTTGACTCTCACTGATCTCTTTGAAGGCTAACAGGGAAAGAGAACATTAATGTATACAGGAATCATGGGGGGAGGGTTGATCCCCTTTTTACCTCACAGCAGTTACATGATATTCATGTGGAGGGGGCCTTCACAGCTCATGGCTACGCTGCAACACAGATGATGTCACAGTAAATGGAAAATGACAGCCAACTTCCTTTTCAATCCAATACTGCTTCCTCATTCCAAATGGCTTATGCCTTGCTTTCCTGTAATAGCAGAGTAGCCTGATCATATTGGACCATCCCTAATTGATCTTAAGTTGCTCCTTCAAAGGGTAGTGGTGCCAGAATGGCATAAATGATGGCAGATGTGATGGTGCCTTTACAAGAATTGAGCCAATGGTTTTTGAGAAGTTTCAGACCTTCCTCCTGGGAAAGTCTGAAACTTCTCTAATCACATCATAAACACTGCATCCTGTACATGGTATGAAAGTGAATATCAGGATTAAGGCCAGAATGTGGTCAAAAACTCATCCAAAGTGCCATCTGAACTCACACATCATCCACAAGATTGACCAACAGGGGCAAAAAAAGCTCCAGGGAAGCAGGGGAAAAAGAATTAAATGAGATGATGATGATTTGAACTAATGTCATGAAAAAGGCATAAACAAAAGGCCAAACTGTCTCATTGAGAGCTTTCATGGCACCTGCAAGTTCAAAGACTTTGAAATTCACCTCAAATGGATCCAGGAAGCACTGATGAAAAAAAAGGGGAATCTCAATGACAAGTCATGCAGTGAAGAGGAAAATCTGATTTCACTTTTTTAAAAAGTGCAGATGACTTCGAATCACAGAAGCCCAGCTTCAAGGTGAAATGTTGGATGATATGATTTTCAACAGGAATGACAAGCAGTTGTCACATCACACATCATGAAAATTAATTTTTCAACACTCGTAAATAAAACCACAAAGCTGCATATCATTTCCTTATGAACTGCAATCACATTTAACTAATCAATTCATGCACTGAAACCATAATATACAAGAACTATTCCAGGACGAATCGAGGGAAATTGCAGTAAAGACTCAATGATTTTACATCATTATGTTCCTATATCATTGAAATTCATGGTGAAAACCAACTGAAAATGCATAATCAGTTATATCTGACTATGCAATTTTATAATTACAAGACTTTTAGCCATAGGCCAATACAAATACTGTGATTGGACTCATGAATATAGGATCCCATCACACAAGATCACAGAAAATGTAGAGATACTGCCAAGACATGCTGCCAATTACATACAATGAGAGAATTATAAGTATATATGAGAATTAAAAACTGAAATGACTTAGCTGTAATGGCCACAGTTAGGAAAAACACATATCACGAAGAGTCAAATGTAGTAGATTCTAAAAAATATCATGAAGATGATGTCAGGGAAATTGAGAGCAATGTAGTCATCAGGGGGAGGGGTGACCAGTGAAGGAATAAAACACATTTAAATTTGCTGACAAAATTGGGGGTTAAGTGCAACATAGTACTAAGACACTTTCCAGAGATCAAAGCTGGGGTGATACTACAGATCAACACCATTTAATGTCATCATGTACAGTAGTTGGTGGAAAAGAGCAAAACCAAAATATTGATAGAACTGTAGATAAATGGATGTGTTCATCTTTAGAGGACTGGGATTTCTCAACAAACCTTCCTACATCTGAACAAATTGGAACTGATAGGTGATAAAGAAACTCATCATTACACAAATAGATGCAATAACAAGTTACTTGAAGCCTTGAATACTCAAAGGAAATTTTAAGGATGATAGTATGTTAAGGTCTGGTAACTAGAGGAAACTTGGGCAAGGGTTAATTGATGAACAATGATGAACCAGTGGGAAACCTGTTAAATACTTGGGTTTTCCCAGAAAAGCCCCTTACTGGTAAATTTGCATCCCAAGTGACACATGTCATTTATATGCAATTGAAACATTTTTTTACTATTGTAAATGCAGCAGTCTTAGAATGCCATAACACTTGACACTGCTAGGGGTGATCTGTAGATGACTAAAGCTTTGAACATCATTTTCTCAAAAATGATATTATATAATCAGTGGATTAACATTATCCTGCAAAAAATATTTGCTGGTCTTCCCACTTAAACCACATCAGTCCTGGTTTTATAGTTAGAAGAATATTCATATGATAATCTCATCCATATATATATATTAATATATATATTATATATTAACATATATAACATATATATATGTTATATTAATATATAACATATATATATGTTATATTAATATATAACATATATATTAATAGGACTAGCATTGTTTCCAATTGTTTCTAGGTTTAGTTAGTCATTCAATTCAGAGCAAATGGTCATTAGAAATAACCACCACCAGGCCATACCACCTTCAATTCTATGGCATACAACTGCAGCAAACCACCAAATATCAAAACATCCAGAACAAAGCTGATAGAATCATGAAAGAGTACCTGTATGTTGAGGCAAGATCTCTAGCAGTAGTTGCTAATTGCTGGTATCTCTGGATCAACAAGACTGTAGAGCATCATAATTCTTTAACAGGGAGAAATATAATATAGGGGAATTCGTTTCAAGTGTCAATGCAACACAAAACACACGGAAAAGAACTAAAAGAGCATCACCAAAAAGGATGAATAAACAATGAAGGAAGGTATGGTTAAAGAAGGGAAGTTGAGGAAACATTGTCTGCATCAATTTGAATGGTAGCCTTCCAAATGATTGAGTTGCTTCTTCAGGACATGGTTCTCATTCTGTATCCGTTCCACTTCTCTCTTCAAGGCTAAATTCTGCAGAAGAAAGAAGAGAGGTCTTCATTCTAAAGAACAAGAAATACCATAAGCTTTGTGCATTGCAAAAATTTTTCTTGTGATTCAGTTACAAGAATGACCTCTATAATGTATTCTTCTCCAGGAAACCCCAAGATCATTCAATTTTGTATATACATTTCACAAAGCAACTGTAGCTGCATGAAATAAAGCATAATACAGAGGTAACAAAAATGGACACTTTGTTACACCCTAGCCATCAGAGATAATGTTTTCTATTTTTCAGTACATTCATGAATGGAAGAACTCACCTCTTCCTCAAGGAAGGAAGCCCTGAGAATGATGTGATTTTCCTTTATTCTCCTTGTATCTCGAGACCTCTTTGCAGCAAGATTGTTTTTCGCCCTCTTTGCCCAATATTTGTCATCCTTCTGCTCCTTTGGGACATACTAAAATCAAAGAATATTTGAAGAAGTGATTAGGATCTTCCAACCAGCAGTCCAAATGGAGATACAGATAGCCATGTCAAATCTTTCTCAGGTCACTTGCTAATCAGGGTGGGAGTCAATCAAGACTAAGTGAGATATATATATATAACTGCCACAAGAAATGCATTTTTGTGGCATTTACATTATTACATTTACATTATATATCAGTAAAAATGAAACTTAAAGAAAATATTAATTTTTCTAAAAATGTTTTCAACTGGGATTATTGCACTTTATATTTCTCACTCAATTCTTTCATACTCTAGGTCCTACATGAACCATAAGAATTCAGATGGTAACTTACAAATCAGCCTCACTGTTCTGAGCAAAAAATAACTAAAAAGCATTTCATTCTCAAATGTAACATCGGGGAGATGACTCACATGCTTTGCAGCTTTCCTGTGCATGGGCTGTGGTCTGAAATCTGATGGGAGGGTGGGAATCTCTGAGATTGGAGGAGACATTGGCATGTCTTCAACTGAACACATCCCATCAACATCCTCCTGTTCTTGCTTGATCTGGGCATCTATAATGAGTCGTGCTTCAGCTCCACCTTCAGCTGCTGTTGCTGCAATACATGCTGATGTAAGACAGGTATGCTTTAATTCTTTCTTCATGGGAATCAAACAATTTCAAACCTACAGGGGCTAGAGCTGGTTTCACTGCCTTCACTTGACATCGACTGAGAACACGAAGGAGGTGGTGGTAAGTAACTTTCCATTTCATTCAAAACAGATTCCATGTCAACCCCAGCAACCCAGGTGGAAGTCTGCATGGTAAGGAAAAAAGACAGAAGCTGAAAAGTTTTTTTTCAACAATTAAGGAGAAAACATTTCCCCAACAATTTATAAATTCTCAGTATCTTGCTTGGAATGTAGCACCTTAGAAATTAATTCTTAAAAAATCAAAAAGTGTCTTGAATGAAGCATGAAGTAAAAATTTGCAAAATATCCATATCTTCTTTAAAATATGAGATGATTTTATTTTCTATTCCATATTTTACACAGAGAATTATTTTTTTATTTCCATCTCCTACCTCCAATCCACCCTCTCCATACTTTCAGATTAAGCTGATGAGTACATGGATTTTCTTTTCCAAATTCTCATATCAACCCTCTAAACCAGTGGTCGGCAACTAGTGGCCAGCAGGCCAGATCCAGCCCACAGTAGCCCTCCCTTTGAGCTGTGAAGACCTGGGTATCAGACATTACAGTCTGACAGTAGACGTTCAATCAAATTTTCATTTTAATGACACTTGATGGGTGTTGGCTTGTGAGCGTGCAGCATTCTGCCACCTGGCCCCCTGTGAAATTTAGTTGCTGACCACTGCTCTAAACAGTACATCTACACACACACATTACTGTATAACAGTATGCCCATACACAAGGTGGTCAAAAAATAGATATCATTATAGGAGTAAAGATTCAGATTCAGGAGGAGACATCCAAGATGACCAATAACCTTTTTCAGAAGTGTATATTTGAGTCATGGGACACAAGGTGTTCATTTTGACTGTATCCCATACTCAAAAAAATGCATTCTGAGGTGCTAAAAAAATCCTCACACCATGAAGATGTGAAAAACAATGTCATTTCATTCAAACACCAATTTTTTTTAATAGCCCACCTCTATAGAGAAAGAACACTATTATTTTTGGTTGAATTTACTTACATTCAGCATTCCTAAACTTGTCTCATCTTGTAGCCATGGCATCTCATGTGATTTCTTGTCATCCCTGCTTAGTACTTGCTCTGGTGGACATGGAACAACCCCTACCCAGAGAAATAAAGCACATCAAAATAGAAAAAAACTTATTTTTATTTTTATTTTAATTACCTATAGCCAGTAGGCAAGAAAAACCATGATGTTTTTGGCCTGAAACTGCAAACCATTCTAATTCACATTTATGCAGCAAGCCTTTCTTGTGCTTATACAGGGTGTTCATAAAGTAACACAAATTGACACAAATCTACATATGAAGCAATCGTTTCAATTTTTATTGTCCATAGCAAACAATCTACATGAACATGGTGTTTGGAGCAATACTTCAAAGTCCTATTTCAGACTGACCTGGACAAATTAAATCACAAAACAAATATACACATTTATCGTTCTACTTCATTCACTCAAGCACATTCTCTCATCATTCTCATATGATTTCTGTGAGTATCCTGTGCTTAAATACCAGAAGCTAACAATTCAGTCTAAGTAACAGTACTTACACTAGTTGAAGCTTAACAAGATATTAAGTACTGCAATAAAGAGGATGATTGCATACAGTGTATAGATTGGCATTTCAGCATCTGAATTTAGGAATCACCAGGATATTCTTGAGTATTAAAATCTGAGGTTCATGTTGAAACTTGTAACTGAAGATAGCATCCAGTTTCGCAGCTTCTTGTTCAACCATTCTGGTGGTACACATGAACTAAGTTCAGCAAGATACTTCAAAGTTAAAATAAACATTCAACTTAGTAAAGTTGTTATATTCTGTCATAAAATAATTGGCAAGACCTTACCAGTAACTACTTAGTAAGAAATCCAACCAAGCCAACATTGGCAGTAATAAGATAATATTGCATTATCTCAATAGTTCATATTTCATAAGTGGCAGATATCACTTAACCTGCTTGAATGCAAAAAATAAGTAATATGAATGCAGTGAATCCTATGCCATCCTCTGAGTAATACCTGGAACATAGATGCACATTTGTAAAATTGTATAATGTTTACAATAAATTTGAAAAGATACTGAAGAATAAAATCTTAGATTGGCCTACAAGTGCTTCCAGAATGTGGAATGTCCTTTGATTTATCTATGCAAATTGCAATGAGAAAAGGAATGAGAATATGTATAATAATGGTTATAGAATAAATTGTGAATTGTCTTGACTTACCTGAACTGCTACCTTTGGCATCTTCTCTGTCTGTCTGACATGATAGGTACATGGATCGATATGGGATAGAATTCCTTGCCAGAGAACTCTCTTGCCCTTGTACATCCCCTTTCATCATGGGAAAAATCATGAGGATTGATGGAGGGTTTTCAATTCAATGAAAACATCAAAGTTTCATTTCATTTGGCTTTGGACAAAAACGTCATATGCAGTCAATTCCATAGTTCACAAGTCAAGCCTTGAGCTATGGGAAACAGTCAGTCTTTATCACAATAACTGGTCTATAGGACTCACAAAATTAATCTGACCCAGCCACTTGTGACCTGGAAGAGATTCATATATGCATTAGTCAAGTAATGCATAAAAAGACAGCGGAATGCAATTATGACTATGATGAAGTAACATCACAGAATTTCAAAGGTCACTTGATATTGCAATTTTCAGATGAATTTACAACAGTTTTTAAGCTGCCAGCAAAATGGACTGGTACATCTAACTGTTTTAGTTGTCACATGTCAGTATTCACAGCCAGGAATATAAATTCTATGAGTGCTTTTCTGTCAGAATGGCATCCCAAGTTTCCACACTTTCATTGCTTCCTATGGATTGATGCTGACAAACATGGCACTTGTTTCATAGTCAATATCTTCTGCATCCTCAGTCTTTATGAGGAAACTCACTCTTACATGAATAGGGTCAAGGCTCCACCAATGGACACTTAAAGGGAATTCCCTATTTGATAATTCAATTTTTATCTCAATCCTTAGCATCTTATGAGTAGTTTTAGCTTTTAAAGCATCTTAAATTATTGATAATAGCATCAACTGGTCAAAGTTGAAAAGAAAAAAATTGTATATAAACTTTGGCAATATCACCTCCCATGGCCACCTTAAAATAACCCAGGTAAAGGCTATATACATCATATTTGTTTCTCCTACAAATATTAGAAAATCAAAATATATGGACCAAATGGATGGAGTATGGGATGAAGGCTACAATGAATCAGATTGGCCAGCATTACATTGAGGACACAGGTAATTGTATTCCTAATTTTCTGCAATGAAAAATGGGAATATTGTGGTAGCAATCAGATTTTTAATTTTTTACCCAAAGAGGAACTACTTCAAGATGTGAATTTGAAAGGGTTAGAAATTAAATAAACTAACATGTGAACCAGAATGCATACTTTGAATCTATCTTGTTTCAGAAGCAGGGTATGGCAGTTAAAATGACCATAGGAGGAGGGTGGTCATAATTGGGTGCTTGACGCTGACTCCTTTCCTTTTCATTTTTCCACCTCCTCATTAAATAACTCTACTAACTCACCATTAGGTCAAACATAGCACAAATGCATTGTCTTTGGCCATAAGAGTTTGTTAGAAAGCCTGGTAGAAATACAATCAGGACCAGGTATTTGGCAAACAAGCAAACTTAAAACTTATTCTTTACACTACCCAATAATACCCAAATTGTAGGATTCACAAGTTTTACTTAGTCATATTTGGAAATGCAAGGTAGCCCAACAGTAGAACTTTGTCCATCAATATCTTGGTCAATAATTGACACCCATCTGCCATGTCCTATTAGAACACACTGACCTTCTGAGGTACTGCTATCATGCTGTTAATTGATGTTCCAGGCCACAAACAGATTGTATGTTCCTGTTGCAAAGCAGTTACATGGTTGCCAAGGATCATGGTGATGTTAAACCACATCAGTCATCATTTGTAATGGTTGATATTGAATTTTGGCAATATTGTAAATAAGCCTACAGTCTTAGACCTATCTCTATGTATGTAGGCCTATCTCTATCCCATATCTTCATTCAAATCATGTGGGTATATCAAGGAATATCCCAAAAGTAATGCCTATGTTGTGCACAATATAATACAGATGTGCCATGGAAATACACAGCTGGCCTTTAGTATGACCTCAATCCAAATGAAGTCAATCATAAATCATTGCAAATAAGTGTATCACACCAGTACCACAATAGCTAAATGGATCCAGCAGTGTTTGACAATGGACTTTTTCCTTCATTTACACATGCTCGAAATTTCTCCATGGGCCCTGTCATCAAGTTGGGAAGTAGTTCACTTGTTCAGGAAGGAACATTACACCATGCAATCATCACATGTCTTTATCACTCCATTATTAGCAAAGATTATGTTGATACTAGGTATCTCTTGAGTACTGTTGAGAACAACACCAGGGAAGAGGGACAGGTGAGGGAACGTCAACTTGAAATACTGCAGAGGTTGTGGTATAACTCCCATGTAAGAAGTGACACTGAACCTACCCTTACTCGAAAGTTGCGATATAACAGGCTTAAACTTAGCAGTTAAATAGGCATGGGCCTTATGATAAGCCTATCACAGACCTGAACACTCAGGTATCGACCCAAGGTTCGCTTAACGTTTTATGGCCTAACGTTTCGGCTACGGCGGAATGCGGGATGGGCTCATGACAGGAGGATCCAAGGAAATCTCACGTACCATGTAGCAGCAAGGAATAAACCCGACAGTAGCCTAGGCATGCACTCCTAGCCCTAACGTTAGACCTTTCGCGCAACAACAAGCATCACGTGTGAAAGCCACGTGTCCTAAGCACACCACCCAACCAGCACCCTTGAAGCCAGAGCCCCCGCGCGACCGCACGGACAGGCTATGTTCTCATTGGCGCTCATTCAGGAGTTGAGCGGGCCGACCCCCTTTCACGCCTGGACGCGGCCGCGGCAGGAGGAAGATCGGAACGAACGGCAATTTCGAAGGTGGAACAGGAAATTTCTGCCCATCTCATCACTCTAAGCGCTACTCGAATTACGCGTCTTTACTTCCACAAGAGCACGAGATGGATGATCGAGGGATAATGTACATAGGTCATGAGAATTGATAGAGGGGGAGAGGGCTATCATGGGTCGATACGAAAGTGGAGCGAGGTAAGTGGACAATAGCGAGGACTCTATGAGGAGGATGCATTGCGATAAGCATCGCGAAGGAGACACATCTCCTTCCAAGTTATGAATGCGCATGGACTTGATAGTCTGCATCCAAATCAAATTATGTGAGCAAATTTCATTATTTTACCTGCATCCTGTCGACGTTAATGAAAAGCTAATCGAACTAATCCAGCCAAACCTCTCGCCAATAGATCGACCAGGAAAATCCGATAGAAAAGCCTTGCCCGATACCCTTTTTATCAAGGAAAGCCATCGCCGCGCAGGTCTCCCCGATTGCAGGAAGCGAACGGAACGATCCGACTTCGAAGCGAGGCTCACACGAGCGGGAGGCGACCACGTGGGCCTCAGCTCGTGGCGGCTCCACGTGCCATAGGGTGACGTCATGGCCCCACGTGCCTCAGATATGGTATGAGAATATTTGCATGGTCGCGCTACCAGATTCTTAATTGATTAATGTTCCATGATATTTACGATTCTGTGGACACCATTTTAGTTTTTGAGTATGTAAAAGCTAACGTCCGAATGCTGAAACCTCTTGTAGAGGAGATGTAAGGGCCTTTAAGCTAAATAGCTCTTTCCCCCTCCTCCGCCTAGAAGTTCATGTATTCTTAAAGAATCGTTAATTAAAGGAGGTTTCAGCATTCGGGCCTTGATATTTGCTCACATCCTCACTGACATCATTCATCTCTACAGAAGTCAGTGGGGAGAAATCTCATGGAAAATGTAGGACGTTGACTTGAATGGGTGGATCCCACAAACTGAGTCCGTCGGCTTACATGCAAGGTAACGATTGAATCGATTCATTCTGATAGGATGGCTGAAGCTCACGTGTAGACCCCAAGAGGTCACTCGGATTCACCGGCTGGTTTCAAAGAGGTACGTGAAGAAGAAAATGTTCGGTGATGGCTCGAATCGCGTCTCGGCTCATCGCATCATCACTGCAGCATCCCTCTCGCCAGTCAAGTCCTCCAGCTTGAGAGAAATCGATGGCGATCCCGTTCAGGACCGCATCCATCATTGAGCATCCTCCGAGCGATTCCTTCGCCGCACAGATCGGCCTGTGCACGCATGCATGGGACGGTCTGCCTTCCAGGCATCTTCGACTCTGACCTTCCCCGTTGGCGCTGTCAACAGGGAACGACCAACTTGTGCGAGTGGGAAGGTCAGAATCGAAGATGCCCACACTGGCGACGGAATCGCATTGGTCTGGTGG